AAAACAGTAGTGTATATATGTTTATATCTAACGCCTATTTTTTAACATGCCTGAAGCTCACAAAAGAAAATAATTATTTGAAGGATATTCTGAGACATTTCCTCTGCTTTGATTACAAAATCATCTTTAAAAAAAAAGAGCTCAAGAGTAGGCAAATTAAAATAAAAACTTCTTAAGTTCCCTTTGCACAGCAGTAGCTTTACCATACCCAAAGTATGATTAAATATGTTGGGATGGTGCTAGTGACGTGCAATATTTCACTTCTATTTTGTTGAACAACGAGGGGTTTCATATACTGTTTTTTTCCCGAAAGTTGAAAAATAATTCTTGTTTCAACAAATGAAAGCATATGGTTTTTAAGACTGATCAAAGCACACTGTTAATGCTAGAAAGATGGAAAGCAAATAGAGGTCGATGTTTTTGAGAGGATGCCAACTTCAGGCAACAGAAAATTCCAATCAAAGAGACACTTTTATAATATTCAAATATACAAATCTACACAGAGGTTTAAGTTATGCATTTAAAATTCACAGATTAATTAGCCTCCTTTGTAATTTTTTTGTTGTCTCGTTCCCCTTTGAAAACTCACACATCAAAGCCCTGCTTGTTAGACCTCTTTTTTAACTCCTAAATGCTTTGAGATGGCATTCAACCTCACGTGATCCTCCTCTGTAGCAGCATTTGTTATGATGATTTTAGCACATCAAAGATAAAGCAGCCGTGTCCATAAATTGATATACACAGGTGTTTCATAACTGAAGGTGACAAATAAGATGGAAAACAAAAAAACTGAATATGAAAGAGCAACATGCAAACTATCGTTCTAAAAGGAGAATTCCTACTTTCTACTTTCTGTCACTGTGGGAGATCAGGCCTATTAAGGAGACATTACAGAACCCACTTTACTCAGAGTGAAAGATGTCATGAAGTAAAGTCAGCATGGCTCTGTGTGACTGATGACTCACAGTAAGCACCCATCTCTACAGAGATACCAACTGCAGCTACAGAGAAATAGGCCTGTTTCTCAGAATGATATCCAGAATGTGTTAGAAGCCCAAGTTACATGTAGAACAACCACAGTGGTAAATTTCAGACGACCTTTAGTATTGAAGTGCATCACCAGCAGTGGGTAGCAGAGTAGTCAGAAATAAGAAATACAAATTCAGTCAAACAAATACATATCAAACGGCTTCCTTTAGACAGTTGTAGCTAAGAGAACATTACAAGGCAAACTAGGTTATTGCTTGAATGGTGGTGGATCAATGTATCTTTTAAGGTAAAAATCCCCTGGCAGCAGGTTAATATGTGTTAGAGTTCTGGTTCTGTTATGTTTTTTCTTTTGGATGTTCAGTTTTGCTTTGCTCCTTGTTTTCTATTTTTTATGGTATAATTCTTATTTTATTGTGTTCTTTGATTTTTTTTCTCAGTTTCTGTCTTAGTCTTGGTTCTATTATGTTTTCTTTTGAGTGTTCAGTTTTGCTTTACTCCATGTTTTATAGTCTTAGTGGTTTAATTCTTATTTTGTTGTGTTTTCTGGTATTTTCCATTCTCAGGTTTTTATTTATTGCCCTCTGCAGCCCTCTTGAGTTCTCCTTTTTTCCCTTGCCCCTTTCTTGTTTCTGCTCTACTCACACCTGCTCCTAATCTGGTCGTTAGCTCTCCCTTTGTTTCAGTCTCCCATACAGTAAATACTCTCTCTGTGCAGTTCTTCAGTGCTGGTTTCTCGTCAAAAGTCCTCCAACTTCGTCTCTGTGAGCTTTCCACCTTGTGATAGTTATCCCCCTGATGTCTCCTTGGTTTCTGGTTCGTTTTGAATTGTTTTCTTGTTTTGATTTTTGGATTTTTGGACTCCTGGGGCCTGTTTCAGAAAGGAGGTTTAGTGAAAACTCTGAGTTTGTTAACCCTGAAATGA